GTGTTTCTTTGTAGTTCTTAGTGTCTTTTTGTAGTTCTTAGTGTGGTTTTGTAGTCAGTTTGTGTCTCTTTGTAGTTCTTAGTGTCTCTTTGTAGTTATTAGTGTGGCTTTGTAGTCAGTTGGTGTTTCTTTGTAGTTCTTAGTGTCTCTTTGTAGTTCTTAGTGTGGCTTCGTGGTATTCTAGTGTCTCTTTAAGTCTCTTTGCCGTCATTATTTGTCCTGTTGTAGTTATGTTTGGCCTCTTATTAGTGGTTGCATTGTCTCTTTCTAGTTGTTTTGTTTAATAAGTCTCTCATAGTAATATCTTATTGTTATTGTTTCTTGAGAACCAGGGGCCATCAGGAGTAGCAGTTCTGGTAAAAGAGATGAGCACTAGTGTAATAGTAGTAGTAGCAGTAATGGCAGTAGCAAAAGTAGTTGTTGTGATATTCGGAGTAACTTCAGAGGAAATAGTGGATGCAGTAGTTGAAGTAAAGTCACAGTATAGTAGTAGAAAAACATAACAAAAGCAGTTGCTAATGTAGTTATAGAAAGGGAGAATTAATGCATATAATGAAGATAAAGATGATAGTTATAAGAAGGAGGGGCAGGAGGAGGCCTTCTCTCTAGCACTTACAGTACAATGACCTCTCTTATAGCTAACGTCCTTGCAGGATTCTTGCTATTTTTAGTTTGTTTCTTTATGGTTGGACACACTGAGTCTCTTTGTATGAAGGTGTCAGCTAAATGAAATGCTCTCCTGTACCTGGGGTGCCTCTGCGGGCCTGAGCGATGGTGAGCTTCTCATGAGGGGCGCGACAATCACAACTGCTCTCCCTGGCAAAGATGGCCGGCTTTGTCAGAGTCTGGAGGAGAAGGAGACGGGGTTATATATATATAATGCAGCTCATGTGTCTTACTGTGAAGGATGTCCACCCCCCATCCCTTCTGTGGTACTTAATGTCTCCCTTTCCACATTTACAGTGACCTCCATTAGGTTATCCTGACCGAAGGTGATGCATGATCCATATTTGGGAGAGCTGCACTCAATGTTATTGATCATGTGTGCAGACATGTAGCCTACTTCTATGTGCATTACAATGTGGGCAGAGCTGTCGAGAGTAACATTCAAAGGAAAGAATAACCTGAAGATGTGAATCCAGTGGTGATTTGGACGGGGGGAAACCCATAAATGAATGTAAATGAAGCAGCGACA